TGCTGTTCTGTGTCAGCTGCATCACGCCGGATCTGTTTCCTACGTTGTTGTGATTTGATCTGAATGAAAACAGCATATCGGGCGTGACGCAGCTGACACAGAACGGCATACGCTGTTTATGAATTGTTGAATAAAGTCGTTATTTTTTTCTATTGCGCACAAAAATGATTCTCGTAGCTTCGTAAAATTACGGTTGAACCCCTGATGTCACATGGATTATTTCACAGATCTCCTTGCTACGTTTCTGGACTTGGGAACATTTCAGTTGTATTGCTGTCTATGCAGGGTCAGAGAGCTCTCAGATTCCATCAAAAATATCTTAATTTGTGTTCCGAAGATGAACGAAGGTCTTACGGGTTTGAAACGACATGAGGGTGAGTAATTAATGACAGAATTTTCATTTTTGGGTGAACTAACCCTTTAAGGAGATGGGTGGGGTTTAGAGTCCTGGGATGGGGGTTATGGTACAAAAGGTGGAACTCAGGGGATCATGCGGTTGATTGCTGGCAGTTTTGAGGACAGTGAATTGTAAACGACACGGACGAAACGGACTTTCCACTAACGAGTACAAATTCTCTCATTGGCAATGCCGTTCTCATGAACATGGCTGACAAATAAAGGCAAAGACAGAAAAGTAGGGAGTTTAGAGGGAGAGAAAAGAGATGGAGAATATCTCTAATTGATTTGTACGGTTGACAGTTTCTCCTCTAACAGCAACATATGACTGGAAATCTAGTTAACAAAAACATTCACTGTTAATGAAAAAAACACAAACATCAAAAGTTTCCTACCCATGTAGTTTTACGCAAACTAGACAGTTTTAAATACCAGTTGAGCGATAATGACAATAACACTTCGATCAGAACAACTACAGGAAGCAGGCCAGCAGTAGACAGAGAAAGGGGCGGGGCAGACAGAAAACGGCAGGGCAGACGAAAAGGGGGCAGGGTAGGCAGCTGCTCTGGTTTTGCCAAACAATGGCTAAATATTACAAAATATTCTATCAACAATATTCACAGTTAAACCAAGGCTTGATACACATTGTAATCACAAAATCTCAGCGACGCCTTGTGCTTGTAGTCACAGAGTTTTTTAAAAACACTTTCATGTTTCTCTCTCTCTCTTTTTTTCTCTATATTACATAGTAATGTCTGATAGGCCACAACTAACGTTACAAAGTCGGCTCAAGGTTTTGGACTTAGGGAGAGACAGTGGCTTAAAGAAGACGGAAACTCTCCTCCCCCTGAGAGGCACGAATTGTGTGAGAGGCTGAGAGTTTGAGGGATGATTCAGTAATTCTCTCACACACACATACACATATACATACACGCGGGGCAAAAACATTTAAGTTAGACCTAATTCTGACCAATCATACATATTCCAAAAATAAAAACTAAGCACAGTCTAAGAAATACTGTCTCCCTCTGACCTAAAGCAGATTTTCTCTTATCCTTTAGGAATTATTCTAGATCAAAATATAACTTAATTGGGATAAAGAAAGCCGAGGCTGTCTGCAATGTTGGAACAGATTCATGGACTGATATTAAACAAACAAGATTCACGGATAAAAACAAATGCTTGACCTCTTGCCTCCATCTCTAGTCAAATATTAATCTTTCTGACGATTTAAAAAAACAGTATGACCCAACGGAAAACTAAGAGGAAAAAGAAGACGAAAGGTTTAATGCACAGTGACACTGCAGTGACACCCTCATCTTTATCAGTCCTGATGGAGAGTGATCGAATACTCATGGTCGTCCTGCTGTTGCTTTCGCCTTCTCTCTCATTTACACAGACGCATCGTTGTTGATCTATTTCTTTCACGGAGTCTGATTCAGTGCACTCCTTCTCCTACTAGGGGGCAGGCTACTCATCAGTTTCTCTTCCTGAGTTCTGCTTTCTCCTACAGCGCAGAGATTTTCACCACATCAGTGCCAGGGTTCGGAAGAGGTGGAGCGTCTGGGTTTGGAGGGGGCGGAGCGTTGGGACTGGCTCGAGAGTTGTTCGAGGGAGGGGTTGGGATACTGATGATTGCCGTGGTAACCAGTCCACTGCTCTTGCAGTTCAGACTCCCTGATTCATCCGACATCAGATTGAGACTGGAACGACTGAGACAGAGACAGAAAGAGACCGAGGTCTTAAAACACTTTTCATACTCTCACTTGTTTAATTTGTCTACTGTTCATTAAATGTCCAGTGGACATGCATGTATCACTTATTTTATACTGAACCAACAAATGTCATTTTCACATCTGTATTTTTTTTTTAAATGTATTTTGTTTGAAAATATCTGTGGGTGAAAGTTACACATTTTAAAATGTTAATAAAATGGCAGATTCCTTTGATTTGCTATGGTTCATTTCAAATATAGCATTTCATATATCATAAACATACTAATACATACACATTTTTGCTTTATTTGATAGAAATTATCTTGATTGGAAATGATGCACCAAATATGCAGTTTACATGCAATATTTACATTATAACTCTCACCTTCTGTTGAGATTGACCCTACTTTTTTTCTTTGTTTGGGGCCCTAATAAAGATATTAAAATGGTTTATGGTAAAATGGCGTATGTCTATTTTACACTTTGTTTAGATTGTCATAGTTTTTTTAATTTAGTAATTCATATTTTTTATGATGGATTTTCATAGTTTAAGATCGAAAGTCTGGGTCTGTGACAAGGGTAAACAATTAAAACTATATATTAAACAGCATTTAAGAAGTAGCAAAATGATGAAGGCATGGTTATTAATTTTTTTTATAACCGCTGTCATGTGACCTTCACATTCACCTTGCAATGCAGAAGTAAGCTATTTTCTGTGAATGAGTGAGACTTCTGTTTATGGACTTTTGGTAGTACCTAGGATATCAAAGTCCACTAAAGGAGGTAGAGCTTTTTCGCATTTGGCTCCCAAACTCTGGAATAGCCTTCCTGATACCGTTCGGGGTTCAGACACACTCTCTCTGTTTAAATCTAGATTAAAGACACATCTCTTTGGCCAAGCATTCAAATAATGCATCTCATAATCTTTTACTGCAGTCATAATCTTTTACAGCAGTTATATCTAATCAAATGCACATTATTATTCATTAGTTTGGGTTAAACAAATCATTTTTGCTTGGTTGGAACAGCAGCTACGCTAATTATGTTTGTATTTGTTTCTCTGTCTTTTGCCACGGGATGTAACTAGGATTTACACAAGCTTCAGTCTGGATCCAGAACACCTGAGAAGAGAAGATGCAACCCCTCAGAGGACGTAAATTAGCTGGAAGCCGATGACACCGGAAGCCTTGCACGTTAAAGGTACAAACGACTGCACCTGATCTAATGTAAAAAAAAAATATATAATAATAAAATAAAATCAGGTGGATAATATGAAAAAGTTAAAGTCTTTTAGCTCTAATAAAAAAATCAACCCTTGTGTATGAAAAATGAGAGCTAACCTGGTGTTTAGTGGATGCTGTTCCCCACACTGGATGTGTAAGGCGCTGAGCTCCTGCAGGTTGTGCGTGTGTGAGTGTGTGTGTGTGGCACTGAGAGGCTGGATGTTCTTCTTGGTTCTCCGAGAGCAGCAGGTGCCTGTGATGCCCTCTTCGCTGGAGAGAGATGGACTCTGCGATGGGAAGTTCTGTAGTGCTGTCTGCAGGTACCCCTGTTCATACAGCCGCTCGTCCACAAACTCATGATTCTGAAACACAACGATTTTTTCCTTGAGATTATTGGTTTCTGGTGTTTTATTTACTCTTATACGCTTTTTTCTTTTAATTCCCTTTACTTCAAAGCCTTTACATGCATATTAACCTTTAAATATAAAAGAGAATATGAAACAGCATTGGTGCATTTTTACTTCAGTAATGTATAACAAATGAGAACAAATCAGAATCAAATCAGTTTCTCAGTTGTGTTACACAAGATTAGTTTTTGGATGCATTAAATGCACTCTAAAGAGAATATTCAGTGGTTATTGTAGGGTGGGACTTGATTTGATTGAATTGGCAAAGAGTGAAACTATGATATTATTGGTTAATATTATTTTTTCATGTCCACGCCTTGATTACATCACTGCTAAGAAAGGGCATTGCAGAGACAGAGAAAGTTATTACACTTTGATGAAAGACTATTAAAACAAACTTTTCCTTAAACTTCCTCAAGCTTTTTTTTTAGACTTGGTGTTATAAAGCATAGAGCAACATCTACATTTTGTATGTCCTATACCTGCTTTTAAATATCAGTTGTGAAGTTTGTGTAAAAAATTTTTGATAATAAATTACATTTAATTGACATGTTTTCTTTTTTTTTTAATTTACATTTGTTAAAGTTGCTCTAAGTTTTGTGGCTTTTAAAATGTGAATATTTTATTTTAAACCTTAAAGCAACTAAAAAAAAAAAGAAGAGTAATCTCTAACATACTTAATCCCTAATCAATTTGTTATAGTTTGCATTTACATGTTTCTTTTTTTTTTTAAACATTATTTGTAAATGTATTTTTGTTGTTTCTTTTTCAATGTATGATGCTTGGATTAATTATTGTTGGATTATCATAACAATCATCGAAAGGTTTTAATAAAGGTATTTATTTATTTGTATGCAGCTTGTACGTCACTTCTGCGGCGTCGCATAGCCCCGCCCACACCGAAATATAATTGGACCGAAATAACGCTACTCGTGTATGTTAAAGGGGTCATATGATGCGATTTCAAGTTTTCCTTTCTCTTTGGAGTGTTACAAGCTCTTGGTGCATAAAGAAGATCTGTAAAGTTGCAAAGACTACAGTCTCAAATCCAAAGAGATATTCTTTATAAAAGTTAAGAGTCAGCCACACCTACCTAAAACGGCTCGTTCTAACACGCCCCCACATATCTACGTCAATATGTGGAAATATTAGCATAATGCTAATTGTGTTTGCGGAACGATGTATGTTAAAAGCACACATCCAGTTTTGTGTGAGTGAAAGAAATCCGCTTGGGAGTGGAGAGATTCATCCTCGTGCACATGGATCGCGTAACATTATGCGCTGTCGACATTGTCATTAAGATCACATTATAGAAACCGCATAAAATTAGAAATTTACTAAAAACAAGCCTATGGCAAGACATTTTGTAGGGGGGGCACCTGGGGTGGCCAGCCAAATTTCAATTTCAGGGGGGGCCGGTGCCACCCCTGGCCACCACGTAGACACGCCCCTGGTCACATCACAGGAGCGTGAATTGTCTGTCAGATATAATAGCACGTCAGCTGTCTTAACCGCGGCTTGTGTACTGCATCATCACTGTGTCTGTCACGCGACCCTTTCAGGCTTTGACTGATGTCAAAGGAGGGGGCTTTGTTGAAAACCGACGTGTTTGAGAGAGGCGGGGCATAGAGGACCTACAATAATGTACAGTATTTGAAAAATTATGTTTTTTTTGAACATTAAAGCATGTCAACATATTCTGTTACACCAAATACACAAAATAATGATCTTTAAAATAGCATCATATGACCCCTTTAAACAAAGACTATAGAATACCCAAAACATGGAGGAGACAAATCCCTTAAGTTCGGATGGCGAAAATGATGGCGACTGGAGAAGCATCGCGGATGTCATGAAAATACAAGGTAACTTGTTATGTGCTTTACGCTGTGTTTTGGTGCATCACGTCACGCCGCTCTTTGCACGTGGCTGGAAAGCCATTAACAAGTTCTTTAACACATTAGAGTAGGCTGTATTTTACGCTGATTTTAACTTGAGAGCGATAGAAAGCTTCTTACTATTGATGGGAGAAACAAAGCTTTTTTCGAAACCAGCTGCTTCGAAAAATTATTCACTTTTCAAGCATGAATGATTGACAGTTTGGCGGCTTCTGCTGGTAAAGAAACGTTGTAAATGCAATGAAAAAACAAACAAACTCAGAACTCAGCCCAAACATGTATAATTACACATTTTACAAGCCAATTGCTAATGTTTTCATGAAAGTGTAATCTATTCATGTAATCTACAAATAATTAAATGCCATTAAATATGAAGGTTCTGTAAAATTTGTGTTCTTTTATTGAAGTGCTTGTTTTGCTTGTCATTAGGCAAGGCTTGGCAAACTAGGGCAATAGGAATCAATAAACTATCTTTCTTCTTTTTGAATTATCCATGTGTAAGTAATAAAATTCATTAAAATAATAATAAAAAATATCTACATTATAAAACTGACCCGAGATCAGTTAAATCAAGGCCATCTAGCATGAAGCCTCAGAATTTTGAAATGTTTGTTCAAAAAACGTGATTTGGCGAGTTTGAGACACATTCTGAACCACTCGTTCGAAACAAAAGATTCGTAAAGTTTCATGTTGTAGTGTTTCAAAAGAAGCCACCACTACTTCTGACTGACCGTGGTCTTCTCCAGGCAGTGCAGAAGATGGTGATGTTGACTCTCCAGCAGAGATGTGGTCTTCTTCAGTTGCTGGTCCTCCTCTAAGGAGCCCTGCAGAAACACACACAAAATTCACATAATTTTTAAGGAATCACCACATTTCATGCAGGAATAATGAAGTGGAGAGAGGGACAGAGTGTGTGTTGTTTGGCTCAGTACCTGTGGTGAAAGTTTCATCTTGTAATAGGGGAGCTGCAGTTGTGTAAGAGTGGGAGGGAGAGACATGGAGAGTGGTTTACTGCTTTTGGAAGGAACTTCATCCATATCAGAGCAGCACAATATATCATCCATAACTTTAAATAAACACAGCTTGAGAGAAAGGAAGGACGAGGGGCCTCAGAGGATTGGGCGAATCAGAGTGATTCCACTTTTCTGTTTCACAAATCCATTGGTACGGTTACTAAAACTCCACATATCTGTCTCTTTTATTGTAAAGCTTTTGCCAGGGAGCTTGTGCTCGCAAATGCGACACGAGCACCAAAATAACATAAGTGAGTCAGTGAGTGATGTGTGGGATGAGAGAGAGACAGAAGGAAAAAGAAAGATATTGATAGAAATGAAGAGAGAGCAAAATTAGGCGTCTTACAGTAACATACCATGAGTTCTCTTATTCTGAGCAGACTGCATGCTTGCATGTGATCTGCGAGGTATTTATCAGCTATTCAGACAGGCTAACCTAGAAGCAGCTTCTTCAGTTTGATGCAAAGCCAGACCATTCTTGGGTGAATCGCATTAAGAAACCTCAAATTTACTCCAAAATTAAAGGACTGCATATTATAAGAATACTTTTCATCAAGAAAATGAAGCTTATTTTTTAGGACCGTTACAAATTTTTCCATTGTGACATTATTTTCATGACAGTTAAGTACATAACCACTATTTTAAGTGTTCTTGTGTGATTCACCCTCAAAGATCTGATTTTTGGAGTAGAAAAACACCTAATGTGTATTTTTAACCCTCCTTTTTTTCTGTTGATTTTGACTTTACTGTCTTTATATTTGAAGTCTCGGACAACCCAATGATGGATGTGTGTAAAAACAAAAAGTAGAAATTTTGCAATTAATAATTTTTGCCCTTTCCCAAATTTTTTACTTTTAGTTCCCTTGATCTGATCCAACCTCAGTAGACTAGACAGAAATATGATCTGTATCTATTTTAGCATTAATATTAATTGAATTAATTCATTTGTTTATACTAGGTGTCTCATTTGTTGTTGGATAAATTGGATAAAACCATCTGCCGAATGCAAATGTAAATAGAAATTATTTATTATTTAGTATTAAAATATACATTACCATATAAAAGTTTGGAGTTATGTTTTTTTAATTATATCCAGTATTAAGTGTATTTTATATAAATTTAAATTAATATTCAGTATTAAGTACATATTTTCACGCTGTTATGACAGGCTGAAGGTCTCTTAGGCTCCAGAATGAAGCTCAATTTTGTCAGGTTCCCGTCTGCTCCACTCTCTGGACCTCTCTGAGGACGTTCTGTGAAACTAGTTAGCTGTCTTTGGAGTGACCTGCAATCTGTCTCTGTACTCTCTGTTCACTCTCAGCATGTTCCTCTTTCCTCAAACGCATTTGACGCATTCAGAAAATGGCAGGTTTCTTTTTTCCAGGAAGGCATTTTATAGGAGTTGGACAGCTTTAAACAACCGCCGTAATAAAGACCAGATCTCCCGTTCACACAAATTTGCTCACAGCCTACTCACTGATGAGGTTGTTTAGCAACACATTAAAACCTTTTCACATCAGTTCATCACTCTGTCCTGATGAATTAGATGTCATTGAGTTAATTGAGCTGATGTTTGTGCAAATATGCAAACACAAAAATCTCATAATCGCTCTTAAGTGCTGAGAATTGGATCACCCCATGTGAATCTCTAGCCTTAAACACTTTTAAAGCAAAACAACCTGACACTTATCTTTTTTTATATATTTTTTTTACGCTGCAGGAGTTCTTGTTGAAAACCACGCATAATGTATGGCAAATAAAAAAGAAGCCACCAGAAGTCAAACTGAAACAAAATATGGAAAAAATGAGTATCAATGTGTGTGTGTGTGTTTGTATTTATGAAACAACATGTGTGAGTGTGTGTGTGTTTCTTACCGTTAGCTCTAGTGATTGGTTGAGTCCATTTCGTTTGCTATGCGGGAAGGCGCTAGAGCTGCCACCCTTGGAAATTCTCATTCGGGCTAGTCTGGCTTTCTGTCAACACATACATACACAAAGGAAGTTACAACTCAGTCTACCAGTGCTTTTCCATCACAAAGGTCTAAGTTTCAATATGATCCCTGTTGAAAGAGCAATTCAGATCAAAGTACTTTAAGAAACAAAATGAATTTTCACATAGATTGCAGTCCGTCATGAGATGATGAAAAATGCAAGTGGCTTCAAAAAACTATTGAACCAGTCTGAACTACCAGCCATGCAGTGAAAATGTGCAAAGATCAGGGGAGAAGAAAGCGATTGCTCGCTTGCTCTACAAAGAATAAAAGAATGGTAATTTAGAGAAACGCAGCTGTGTAATGGTTAATTACAGTAAACGTCTTGTGTAATGCTGAATCACGGTTAGCACAGCTGTGTAATGATAAATGATAGAGCAGCGGTTCACATTCCCTCAGTCTGTGCCATTTCATAGGCACAGCATGGATGATGGGTGGAAACCAGCAGTCAAATCCTCTGTGGAACATCAAATTTTAATATTTACAATGAATGAGAGTATTTTAATCTTCTTAGATCCAGAGGCATCAAATGATCTGATTTGTGCTCTCATTCTCTCGTCATCTCATAGAAAACTGATCCTCTCTCTCGTTTCAGATCCCTTAAGATGTAAGAAGCTTTATTGACATGATAAAAAGGGTTTACTTTGGCAAAGCATTAATAAACATTATGTATACACTAGATTTATATTTTTTAGTGAACGTGTTAGGGTGTCTTGGGTGGTTGTCAGGGTGTTGCTATGTGGTCACAAAGGTGTTTTGAGTGGTTTTCAGTGCATTGCTTTGCACTTGCTATATATGGTTGGTTTCTTGAGTGTTGCTAGCTTAAGTTAAAAGAGCCTATATAAGTCTCCAATTTGTTCTGGTCCCAATGGTTAGTGCCGCTCCTTCATGTTTTTTTTTTTTTGCCATTGTAATATTCCAAATATTCCAAGCCAAATTATGCAGGATAATATAAAAGTATAATATATATATTATGTAATTAATTTAATTAATATATCTTTAATATATATTTTTTTAAAGGGATAGTTCACCCAAAAATGAAAATTACCCCATGATTTACTCACCTACAAGCCATTCTAGCTGTATATGACTTTCTCCTTTCAGACAAATACAATCAGAGTTATATAAATGTCTTGGCTCATCCAAGCTTTATAATGGCAGTGAATGGTGGTTGAGATTTTGAAGCAAAATAAAGTGCATCCATCCATCATAAAAAGTGCTCCACACAGCTACAGGGGGTTAATAAAGGACTTCTGAAGTGAAGTGATGTGTTTGTGTAAGAAAAATATCCATATTTAAAACTTTATAAACTGTAAACTTTACAAACCATCTCTTGCTTCCACTCACTGTCATACGCATGTTCACGAGAGATGGGCATTCCAGCGGATGATGTAGGATGTAAGCGTAGCGTAAGCTCCGGTGAGAAGTGACAAAGGCTGAAGCGCAGAGGAGAGAGCAAAACAAAACACCGGTCATGAATTAGAAGTACAAAATGAGGATTTGTAAAGAAAAATGTAGGAGGATTTTGATATAAGCCAAGAGGAGACTGGTTTTCCTTTGCTGTAAACAAAACTTGGTTCTCGCGAGACTAGCATATTCTCACCGGAGCTTATGCTAATCCTACGTCCCACGTCATCCGCTGGAACACCACTCTCTCGTGAACACGAGTACAACAGTTAGCGGAAGCTAGAGATTATGGTTCATAAAGTTTTAAATATGGATATTTTTCTTACAGAAACTCATTGCTTCGCTTCAAAAGGCCTTTATTTACCCCCATGGAGCCACGAGGAGCACTTTTTATGATGGATGGACACTTTATTTTGCTTCAAAGTCTCGACCACCATTCACTGCCATTATAAAGCTTGGAAGAGCCATGATATTTTTAAATATAACTCCGATTTTATTCATCTGAAAGAAGACGTTCATACACACCTAGGATGGCTTGAGGGTGAATAAATCATGGGGTAATATTCATTTTCGGGTGAACTATCCCTTTAAAATAAATCTAACAAAATTTAGCAATGTTTATGCATAAAGCAAGAAAAAAAATTATTAAAATAATAAAAAAAGGAATCTTGTTATCATTTGCCAGGCAAGAATAATTAGTAAAAATATCAAAATAAATAAAAATGATTTGAAGCTAAATTATGCAGGACAAAATGATGACAGCATTTTTATTTTTGGGTGGACTATCCCTGTCCAAGGATGTCTGGACAGTTTTACTGGAGAACGAGACAAAATGTATTTTCGTCTTTCCTGCAGGGGAGTATTTGTGTTTTAATAATCTGGTTTAGCTGTGTTTTCATTCTCTCATACACAAAGAAGCTTTTGTGTGGTCCCCTGTCAGGTGTGTAATAGGACCAGCTTGATTTTCTTGTTCATGGAGCTTGTCAACTTCACACACAGGTGGTAAGTGTTCATGGCCAGGACTGTTAATAGCTCAGCTAAATGCTGGAGATCAGCTCCATGGGTATAACAGAAAAACACTCAGGGGGAGATTAACAGTGTTTTGCACACCTATAGTCACAGTATGTTGTGAATAACACAACCTCTTGTCCACCGTTAGGTCATCGGCTCACCCACCACAACTGATCTACGCGAACGATTTCTTCGATTTCATAATCGCGCAATAAAATCGTCTGCATTTTTTTGCGTAACTTGTCAGTGAACTGCTGCTTTGTGTAGTAAATGCTGCTCCATCTGAAAGCACATGATGATGATTTACTGCTGATTATAGAACCACCTTTACTAACAAAACGCGCATGACAATCGCATTCGATTAATCGTGCAGCCCTAGCATGTGATTTGATAATGTTTTAATCACAGCGAGGATTGCTTAGCCTATGACAATTCTGCTTTAAATTGTGTTCTAAATAGCAAAACTCATGTTCTGAGAAAATCTCTATGTAAAGTTTTATACACGAGGCCCCTGATGAGCTGTAAAAGGTAACTTAACAGTGTATGTGAAAACATGGTATATCGCTTTAGTTTAATTTTAAAATGACTAAAATGATACCTGGAACTACAATATAATTATACAACTGCAGGGCCTGAACAAATCAGTGAATCTGCGAGTCAGTTCAATGACGTACATAGTACCTACTTCCTTTTGCTTTACTGTAGTTTACAGCCATGAAACAAGAATATGGAAATGAAAAGAAATGGAAGCTCAGGAAACTTAAGTGCATTTTTAATGTCAATTAAACAAAATCCTTCTATGAACTTTCAGTGTTTGCTCTATGCAGTTCAGTCCACAACAAAGAGCAGATAAGCGTTAGATGTCAGTGCTGTAAATACAACGTTGAAGAAAATATAATTTTGAGGAAAATTGCATTGTGAGAGGGTTGCCATGTGCTTGGTAAGGTGTTTAGATTATTTATGTCGTTAAGTGGTTGCTAGGGTGTTGGCTACAGATATGGCTTGGGTTCCTTTTTTAGTGTAAGTCTGTGATTGAATTATTTAAAAAAAAATCTGTTTTATGATGGCTTAGAAGCAAGAGCACTTCTCCTTAACAAGCTGCGTGATTTGAGGTATCGGTCATGTCCATAGCACAAACGTAGCGTGACAAGTTACATATCAATCAAAGCTTAATATTAAGAGTGGAAAAACCTTGCCTTAACATTCACCACTATATACTGCTGTTAAAACAAATCTTGAAACCAGATCTTGTTCATATTTGCTTTGTGTGTATGTAAAGCAAGTGCTGAATTTATAATGAACAAGTCATTAACATGCAGTAAAGTAACACAGCTAACACTGTTCTCAGGACTAATAAATCAACCCAAATTACTGGATCAACTTTGATCAAAACTATGATTCCTGAACTAACTTTGAACAAAACTCAGACCTTTGGATCAACCATGAGAGTTTGAGCATAATGAGATCATTGAGTGATCAGTCATGAAAGAATTGTGTGATGTCTAAGAAACGGTCTGTTCTTTTTAGCTTTCTGGCTGTGCAGATTTGCATTAGTTATTAATAAGCTGCCCTGGTGTGTGTAGTTTTCTGGAATGGTGTGGAGAGGTGCTGAGAGGCGCTTTCTTCATCGCACTGTTCTCTTAAACAACAGGCAGCAGTGCGGAGAAAATATCCACAGTGAGTGAGAAGTCAGTGCTTGTCGACCTGTACCCTATACAGTCACAGACATGGTTGTCGCTTAAATTCATG